GGCACCTGTTTTGGGTGGGGGTGGGGAGACTGCTGAGTTTGACTTGAGGCTGGTGAGGGTGAACCCAGAGATAGGGAGGGGTGACAGTCAAGGCTGAACGAGGGGGTGGAGCTGGGTGTTTGGGGCCAGAGGCCCTGGGAGAGAGGGGGCACCTGGCCCTGCCCCTGGGAAGGGCCCGGGAAGGGTCTGGCCGGTTCCGCTGCACCTGAGGCTTCACGAGCATGAGTCCTGTCATCCCAGCCCGGGAGGCCAGGCCGAGGGCCCATTCTGCAGAGGCTAAGTAAAGCCACCTGGCTTTTTTGTAGTCACCAGGCCCCTCCCCAGCGGGGGGCTTAGCTCCTTAACCTCTCTGTGCCTCGCTTACGCCTCCGTGTGATGGAGACAGCAGGGAGGGCTCAAAGGAGACCACAGGATGCCCAACCATGTCTGGGCCACTGCCAGGCGAAGGTTCAGGTGGCAGGCGGCCACGCAGACCCTGCCATGGCCCTGCTGTGACCCACCTCCTCGCCGGAAGGATCTGTCCCCTGCAAAAAAACTCTGTGTCCAAAGACGCCCCCCCCCACTTGCCTGACTCATGGAGGACACTGTCCCACAGGGGCCGTCTCCCCAGCTGCAGTCACAATCCAGAGTCCCCTCCAAGCAGATTCCCAGGGCTCTCCTGGGATCCCCCCCGACCTGAGTCCGGGTGGGGCCTGGGCCTCTGCATTTGTTAACTCATGAGCGGAGGAGACGGACCAGGCCCTGGAAGACCAATCTTACCCTCGCCCACCCCCAAGGGATGCGAGGGTCTCACAGAAGAGGGAGCCTCTTTGCATTTGCACATTTTATTAAGAGAATCGATTCTTAAGTTATCTCTGATCAGTGGAAAGCATCTCTGGAGGGAACACGCACAGTCCGCGCAGATACTTAAAAATGTGTCCCTTTTCCTCTCGGGACTGGAGCGCCAAGTGCCCCAGCTCGCCAGCAGGAGGCGCTAGAGCCCCGGCCACTGCCCGTGGTGGGGGCGGGGGAGGCGGGGCCGCCCCGCGCACCGGGTCCATTCACGCCTGGGGGCCTCCCGCAGACACCGCGGGGCTCCTGGGCATCTCCAGGGCAGCGCCGAGCCCTGCGCCCCAGCCCTGGCGTCCCGGTCTGTGTCTCCTCTCCTGACGTCCCACATTTGAGGGGGACCCCGCGGCATGGTCACTGCAGCCCCCCGCGCTCTCGCTTTAAGCCAGCAGCTGGGCCCGGGCCTCAGGCAGGTGGCGGCGGCCTCCCCGTTCTCGGGGCGTCGCGTGGAGAGGCCGGCGGGGGCGCC